TACAGCTCAGGGGACCTGGTAAGGAACCACTTTTGCTCGTGCCACCTGCAGTGAGCACAGGGGTGAAGTCAGTGTTGACTGCAGGCAGAGAAAACCACTAAGGATAATCCAGAGAGCACCAATACAGGCAGCAGAAAGCTCAGTCAGTGCAGTGCAGGGTCAGAAAAGTAGTATCAGCTTCTAACAGGAGGATGGAGAAAATGTAGACAAGTTCACATACACAGATGCAGTTCCAGTCCCTCTCTGTGTTGCAATCCTCTTTTCTACTTTCCTATGAGAACTAAAATAGGCTAAAAGGACAGACCCCACTAAAGGACAGTACAGTCAAATAGTCATCAACATTTTCCAACCATCAGATTTCAAGGTGGAACCAGTGGCAGGAATATCTATTGTAAATATAATACTGCTCAAGTTAATGGGCACACCCAAATGAAGTGCCATCGATTTACCAGCTGTAAATACACTGAATTGCAGCTGTATTGCTCTGTGACATCGATTAATTGTTGCCAAGGTGACACAAGTTACATCAGCCAAGTTCCCTGTTGTACCTTGACTGTGTGGAGAAGAAAGTGCATAGGTCTCTTCCTCCTAACCTGATTTAGTACATACACTGTAACAGTTCAAGTAGGGTATATAAGGGCACGTTATATATCCTTGCTTTGTTTTATAACCTCTACAGGGACCACACGTGTTTTGGGGAACAAGAAAGGAATATTTACCCGCCAGCGACAGCCCAAAGCAGCTGCATTTGTTCTTAGAGAAAGATACTGGAAGATTGCAAATGAATCAAGCTGTCTTCCTCCTGTAAAAACATCACATTCCTTCTGTTTAAAATGAAATCAAAGGGTATTACACTGAATTTGTTATTAAATTTCTTATTAAATAACTTTTGTGCCTGACTCGAGTCTTGCAAGTCTAATGCGATTTCTAGTCCACCTGAAGGAGTTACTATGATGTGAAGCAGATCAGAAACACTGGTTTCCTCTGCTTAGCCATGTCTGGAGGCTTCCTGTTTCCAGAGAGTAAAACAAATATTCAGAGTTTCAAGGAGCTGAAGTTAGAGATCCTGACTGAGGTATCTGTTTATGGCAAAAAACCCCAACACAAATATTACATGACACAAATCAATGCTGAAGACTTAAAAAAAAATAATCTAAGTTACTCTAAATGAACATCACATCCCCCTAATGCAAATGAGGTTTTCCAGTTATACTCCCCTAACAGTTACACTACTCAGATCACAGCAAATTGTCCACAGAGGAGCAGAGTTTATGCAGCTTCTCCTGCCTGACAGGATGTGTGTGTGAGAACTCCTGAGCACTCACAGCATTCAGGAAGGGTAAGAACCACTATGAGGACACCCAACATACTCCCAACACAGTATGCAATTCATACTACAGCAGCAAGGTGGAATATGTTAGATAGGCAGGTACTACATCAACTGAACTTTAATAAAACTATTTATTTTACTCACAGTACCAAAGCTGCCACTATTCGATGCAGTTTTACCTTCCAGCATGGAAGGGCTTCCTTCATATTAAACTGTCACCATGGACTACAGTAACAGCATTCTAAGAGGGCAAGTTTGTTCTAAACCTTTCTGGTAGTGCCCTGAAGCAGTCTGGGGTAGGGCCATGTGTAAATTAACGTGCTGCTTCAGACAGCACAGTGGTGTAATAACGTCCCTTTTGGGCTGCACACCAATCTTAGGGGACTCCAAAGGCCTGGCTCTGGACTGTCATAGATCACAGCAACACTCACAGGGCAGCTCAGAACACTTAGTCTGCACACATCTTACAGCAACAGCCCAGGGTTGTCCCAAAAGCAGCATCACAGGGAGCAGAACGACAAAACTGGGGCTGCCCAGTGAATTTGGGAAGTTGGTACAATTAGGTAGTTTTAATGATTCACAGACTCTGTGTGAAACTGTTGCTATGACTCCCTTTCCTAACGCTTTCCTGTGTTAGTGGCTCAGGAAAGTCACCAAAATCTGACGGTATAAAGAAAATATTTGCTCTTATGTTTTGTGGTGGCCAAATTCTCTTTCCTTTAGAGGTGGTACATTAGGAATCAACCCCACCTTCCACCCTGCCACATGCAGAATGAGGGCACAGATGTTTGCTGCAGACTTCAAAACAATTATGAAGTTTTTAAGGGAAAAGAAACAACACACTATCGACATTCCTCACACCATGTTAGGTCTAGATCTTCTACATAACTAAAGCCCCAGAATATAAAAGTCTATGCACAGTAAAAAGACACTTGTTCAAACGTACCATGGTAGAAGCAATACCATATTTAAGCCCACTACCAGTGTTTGAAAGGTCTCAACTTCTCCATCTCCAGACATCATTATTTAAAGAAGAAAATAATTTTCTTCCCCATTTCACCAGACAGGACATACCAAAATACAGAGAAGGATCTGACACTGTTCACCCATTACAAATCAGGGCTCAGATCCCTGTGGTAACATGGGGCTTGCAGCTGCAGAAGACGAAGTTTGAACTTCATTCAGTCCAACACAACAGATGCAGAGTTTAATGCCCATATGTATGAAAAGCACACATTTGAGCTCAGTTCCTGCTTGTTCTGACCAGCTCAGTGCAATCATAAACCCAAGCTGCCCTACCCAACCCTTCCCGGCAGTTCCCTCAGCCCCCCAAATCCAGGAACACACACAGCATTTTCCAGATCCTTTGTGTTCTTGTGGGAGTGGGTTCAAGCAGACCCACAGAACCAATAAAGCAGGAAGTGATAAAGATCACACACTGAATGTTGGGGTTTTTTTTTTTTTGCACCTTGCTTAAAGAACTGTAAACAATTAAAGCCTCAAGTCAACGCTGCTCAGCCTCTACACACCCAGTGCACACAACGTGATGAAGCTGCAGGAATTCTATAAACTGGGATCTGTGGGGAATCAAGTGCTTTAAACTACTGCTAACACACACAATGTCTTTGAAAAAAACCCCACAACTTAGTACATTTCTAGAAACAGAATTACAGTACTGACGTTAAAAACAGTTTCTAAGGCTCAGACTGAGTCCAAAAAGGCCTCTGATTGGGTTCATTCAAGCTCTTATGTTTGGACTGCATGAATGCAGCATAAGAATGATTGCAGCAAGACGTCCACAGGTAATTTCTACATTTATTATTTTTTTTTATACCAAAAAAGTTATGTGCAACAAATAGAATTCATACATATTTACATTGTTTTACCTGTTAGCAAAATTGTATCCTAAACCTCTGATATAGAATCTCTCAGCCTGTATCGATGAAAGGAACATCTGCCCAATGACTCCATTTCAATGGGTGTTTAATTTGGAGTTTAAAGCACTAGGAATAAATAGTTGATGGAACATACTATACAGAACAAACACCTAATATTTAGGCCATGCTTAATACAGTTTTATGGTAACAGAATACTTCATCTTTTCTGGAACAGTTTTGTCTAGTTCACGTTTAAACAACATTGGCAGAATCAAAGCCATTCAATCTCTGACTTCAGCCCATATAAATTAGGAGCATCAAGTGCTGCCTGAAGCACCTCACCAACCTCCTGGAACAATTGAGAGACTCTGTACAGCAGCAGACAAACACTACAGAATGCAGAAACCTCCTCACAAGAGATCTGTTGCCACTTCAGGCATCAAAGGTGGTCGGGAATGTTTCATTGGCCTCAGCATCATGAACACTTTACACCGAGAAACTTCCAAGAACACTCATTTCCTCAACGAGACTTGAATGCTTTGTTGGCCTTTAAGAGTAGCAAGTACCTTACAGTAAGAGGATTTCAGGAATGTTTAATTCCTAAGCAGGTTTTGGGATGAGGTTGTTTTGACTTTCCAATCCGCTCCTCGCCGAGGAACTTCCAACTGAGAATATTTGGTGACTCTGAGAGCCAAAGAGGGGGAGGAAGGACCCAAATTCAGAACCACTGTTTGGATATTGTGAATTTTTTCCCTCCATTCTCATGAGTGTTGAAACCACAACGAGGATCTGTGTAACGTCCCCCTGTCCCTTGCCAGCCCAGGTATTATTTACCTGTGTTTTCCTGTATCCTCAAGATTTCTCAGAATTTGCCTTTGGGTTTGGAAGGGTGAAATCAGAATCAACCACACGTTTCCCACCACGTTTGCTTTGGCTGGGGCAGGCAGGGGGGGCACTCCTCTGATTTCCATCACATCACAACCTGTGCCATTTTACTGGAAGAAAGATGCTGTTTCTATCATTGGGAGCAACAAGGAGAGTCAAAGAACTGGAAGCAAAGAGGTCCAAATTTCTACTGCTAAGATTATTTTGCCCTTTATTCAGGCCAACTGCATTTCTGAAGCACGAGAGAGAAATAGAAGAGTCAGGCCCGTTTCTAGCAAATCACTTCCAGTAAAAAGTAACTGCAAGAAAAGCACACAAGACAGAAGAGTTCACAATTAAGGATCAGATTTGCAAGTCTGTGCACAAAGTGTAGCTGCAAATTCTTCCAGAGACCAAACTCCAGTTCCATTTGATCCCTACGTGCACACAAACAAGGACTGCAGACACGACTGCTGGAAATCTGGCCCTAAACATTTTTACTAAACAAACTGAATTAACAGACTATGCCCACACAAACAAGCACAAGACACAGTGAAGTTAAGTCAACACCAATACTTTCAGCTGATGGGGCTATTTTTCCTTTTTTTTCCCAGAAAATGGACCAAGTACTCAGTGATTATACTTGTCTCCATGGCTGCTTGTTCTGAGATATGAGCACTGCCACTGACCATTTCAGGCAGCACGTGTTCACCTCTTCCTTGGATGAAAAAAAAGATGCCTTAGTGTAGATCACAGGAATGCATCAAAATAAATCTATACCACATATTAAACAGTGATACTGCCTCAAGGCTTGTGAGAGAACAAAGCCAAGCCTTGAGGGACCAGTTTAACATCATTCATTCCCCTCATATCAAAGTTCAAGGCATTTGAGAGACAGAACTAAACATCAAGACAAGCTTTAACTATACTCTGGTCAATACAAAATGCATTTAATGAATTGTTGTCTAAAACTGTCAGACAAGAGGGACAAGTAATTTAGTGTTACATGCAACAGATGTTACTCATACCACAGAACTCTATACATAAAAGCAGTTTCCACCTACATCCTTGATACAAACCAGAAAATGACTTCAGTAGTAATTTAAATACTATTTTGTGGATTCAATCTAAAAATTTGCTCTACGGAAACACTGCATGTTTCACAGTCAAGTTTATCCTCAGCAACTTAGTGTTTATAATCCACTTATCCATACAACGGAAGTGTCTCTCTGACATTCATGTTTGAGAAAAAAAATCCAAAAAGTAGTTAGATTAATTCTTTAAATAAATGGTATGCAGTTGGAATTCTCCATATTTAGAAGCTGACAAGGGCAAAAAGCAGCACAGCACCAATTACAGAAAGTAACTGAACCTACACATTTTGGTGTCACAGAGTCTGAAACACAAATATTTTACTTTTCCAAATGGCCATCAACCTTTTTTAATTAAACTGAAACAATACTGCTACCACTTCTCAGTCTAAAAACTAAACCATATCTCTTAAATACTCCTCTATCCCCAGCAAGTTTGCTGGGAATTTTGTTTGTTTGTTTGTTCATTTTTAAAGCAAGGACACTTCTGCCTGCCAAGTTCAACACAAAGTATTTGGTTTAAGATTTTAAGACAGAAGGCACTTTTAACATTCAGCCTTAGAATACTGAGTGCAGAAACAACATGTACAATTTTGTTCCTTTAAATCCGCAGTTTAATTTTTTTTTTTCCCAATTAGTTATTAGAAAGAGCAATGATAGCACTATATCACATTTCATTTTCAGGAGCACATTTACTCACTTATCCCATTAAACAGCTTGCCCTTCCAAGGGATCTTGTGTGTGTGTGTCAGGCCTAAAGTTCATTTCCCAATATAGCACAAACCAAGGATCCTGACGAAGATCAATTAAGTAACTGCTTTTTCAGTGCACGACTTGGTTATCCCGCTCAGTCAGTGGTTTCCACTGCAATTGCAATCCTATACTGCAGCATTCATAGAACATCAAACATTAGTAACACTGGCTGGCTGACCACAGCTTAAAAATGAAACAGCTCTGCATGGAAACTGAGTCCTTTCAAAGAACACTTTGATACACCAACCCCCAGCCTGCACAGAATATCCTGGTGGCGGCTTCCCATCGACCACACGAAGCTATTTTCACTCGGTACAGAATTAACGAGGTTGTGGTTTAATGAACACACTTCAGGTTTCAGCTTTAATTCCATTTTTCGGTACTGGAGACAAAAAGAAAGACAGAAGAAAAAAAAAAATGGAACCAACCCCAAGCATCATTCTTGGGACAGCACGAGCAGTGAGTGCAGCAACTCCGTGTTCTCTTCAGAGGTCACTTCTTCCATCGTGTCAGTCGACTGTGAGCTGAACCCTCTGACAGCTCCTAACAAAACCCATTGTACAGTGAGTTCTCCAGGGATGAAACCAATAGTTCTAATTTTATTTACAGTGTAAGTCCTAGTCAAATCTAAGTCCATCAGCTAAAAAAAAAACCAAAACGAAACAAAAAAGTAATACACATACTGTAAACATGGCAACATTAAATATGGTGATGCTAGTCTAGAATATTTAATGTCATGATCACATCTTGTTATACCTGAATTTATATACAGGATATTTTATAGCAAGTGTTACCCACTTCACAAGTGGAGGGGGAAGAGAGAGTCTAGGTTTTGCTGTGGCTAAAACTCCTTCAAAGTAAAGTTAAAGCTTGTCTTTGATTGTATTAGAGCTTTCTTTCACAACCACATTTAAACTGAAGATTAGCACAGAGAAATTATCGGGGGCCCCTTCAAATTTATAATTAAAAATTCAGTTATGATTCTCGGGGAAAGTGTCTGATATGGAGAATAAAAAATTACTGCAAAATAAACTTAATGGAAGTTGGGTCTTCAGACTGTCAGTCAAGAGTTCAAACAGGGGTTATTCCTGTTTGGGTTGGAGTTGCCGTTTCCAGGCCTCGTTCAAATAAACTAGTCGTTTGTAGTTGATGATAAAGAGAATGAAGTTCAGCAAATATGTGATGACGCAGACAATGCAAAATTCCTTCAGCACGAAGTACAGAATGTATGCCAAGTACAATGACCCTACTACAGACACTATGGAGGATGTCATGAGGATTAGAGCTGCTACTGCACTTGCTGTCATACCTGCAACAAGAGAGAGAGAGTTACTAGGGCTGCTCTCGGCCCCCCTCCACACACAGCACAAAGCCTAAGCACTAATTCAGACTGAGGGCTCCTCAGCAAGTCTGTCTTACAGAAAAGTCTGGTTAAAACACCACGACAAATCAAGACAAATCACTCTTTGGAGGGGAGCATCTAAGTTCTGTCTGACAGTCCTGTGATAAGGAGTATGTTTACATCAACCATCCTCTGTATTCCTGAGTTATGGGAAAGTTACAGGCTGATCAAGTTATTTCTATCAAAATTAACAGCTTTATAGCAGACCACATAGTTACCAACATGTATACAACACATTTCATGCACTTTTTTGCCTATTACTCCTGCAAAACTTGTAAATTCCATTTTTATTTCCTCTCTTTTCTATCATGCAATCCGATGCTAAATATACTGAAGTGAAAATACCAGCACAGAAACTGTCTTGACACCTATATTATTAATAGCATAGCAGAGGAAAAATGCAATTACTCTTGTTATCAGTTGGGTTTTTAAGCCCTTTGGACAGATGTATCATTAGGATGGTGCTAAAAAAAAAAAGATATAAAAATCACAAGCATTTATCTGATTTCTTGCAGATTGTGCAATCTGTATTGCACTCCTCCAACACCACAGACCTGCTGCATGCTTTAGGCTTTAAGCAGAATTAATACTTACCAAGTAGCATTTGTAGTATATAAAACACGAGTCCAAAAACACTGTTTGACTGATTTATTGCACTGTCCTTTCCAAAGATGGAACCCAACAGACCGAATCCTCGACCCCATCTGTAAAACAGTGAAACTAATTAACTCCTGTTTGGGCACCTATTGCTTTTACATCAGTGTTTTCAGTCCATCTCTGTTGGGAAAAGAAAAAGAGAAAAAGAGGTACATATATTCTGACATGACCACTGGAGTCCTATGGGAAGTTCAGGGTTATGCTGGAAAACCAAGCAGCTTGCAACAGGGGGAGCACTTTATCCACAGGTACAGCTTTGTCCCACACCTGGCGGATTATGAAGTTATTCAACACATCAGAAACTACAAGTTCACGCAGCTGCAACTTCAAACACCACGTTTGCTTCTGTTTGAAGCTGTTTTGTCAAGCACCCAACAGCTTTAGCAGTTCCCTCCACCACAGCAAGTTGGACACTTGGTCACTAAACAGGGATGATGGTAGAAGGGGTAAGGATTTGTTCCCAGCTCTGCCGGCATCAGAGCAAGCAAACCAGAACATGTGTTTGCATCTCAGCTGCTCCTGATCAGTCTCTCACCTCAGGAGGAACCCCAATCTGCCAAGCAGACAAGATGGGGATGGCACCAGAACAAGATCCACAGACCTTGTTTGTCAGAGCACTGTGGGACACTTTGAACCAACACCTGAATTCCCCACAAAGCGACTTTCAACTTTCTAGTGATAAGACAGAAAGCAGCACAAGCCCTACAAAACTGCTGCTGCAATGAGGATAAAAGATGAAATTACCAAATGTATTTGTGCTAGAAACCAGGAATTTGATGGCCCAAGGCAGATCATGCCATTATTTGTAAAAGTAAAGTGAGGACCTTATTTGTTAGTGTCACTTGAAAATATGAAGTTAATGCTATCCAACAGGTAACTTAACTCACTTACAAGAGAACATCAGGATATCTTCCAGCATGATTTTGGAGCATCAAGCCAAGCACTACACTTGGCTTGGTTCCCACTATCAGGTTAACTGCCACAGAACTATGTAAAAAAGCACCATTCCTCACTCCTGTTGCAGCAGAAAATGCCAGTGTGCTACATTTATGCCAAGAAAAGTGCAGTTTCTAGATAATTTCTTGTACTAGAGGCAATGCCCTGCTAAACCAAGACACAGCACAGGTCTGCTCTCTGCACAGGGCAGGAACATTGCTGATGTAACTCACCACACATCTGGGATCAGTGACAGGCTACCAACACATGACAAGCAGTTTCCTCACAGAAAAAGGGACCACAGCAAGCACAGTTTAATACCATCTCCCAAACACTTCACAGTCTCACAACCATCTGTGGAGTATTTGCAAAACATATTCAAATTAATAATTTTAATTGCAGACAGTTACTAAATTTGAATTAACTATTATAGGCAAGTCTTGTGCTCTTCTCCCCAAAAAATCCAGCAGAAAATTAGGTCCCAATTCCAGGAAAGCACATTTACTGCATAAACAGTAAAAAAACCAAACAGACTTTCAACTAGTTTGGTCTCAAATCTTGTAAATGAGTGAAGTGAAACTTTTGTGCCAATATAAAGCTTCAACCAACGCTGCTTTACCAGGGGACAGTGGTTCAGCATTCCCGAGGCTGCCAAGGGTCTACAGACAGGGAGCTGTGGGAGGAGCAGTGCAGAACTGCCTGGCTCCCTGCACTCATCCCAGGGCACTTCTGGGGCTATGGAAAATGTGGGGGACACGGCTGATTGCACCTCCTCCCTGCTGCACATGAAGGCAAACAGTCCCACTGCCCTGCTTGTGGGCAAAGCAGGATCGAGGATGGATCCCAAAGGTCTGGAAAAGCTGCAGACAGAGATGTGATTGCAGCACTCACAGAAAAGGGAGCCACACTTCCCAGAGAGGGATTTAAAAAAAACCCCAAACACCATGGAAAAACAGATCAGCAAACATTATAAAGAAATACTGCCAATTCCAAGGAATCTCTGCTATGATGAGATTTTCCTCCCACATGTTGAATGTTATCTGGATTTTAAGTGAGAACTGTTTATTTTTTGGCCTTCCTTTGCTAAGATGTCACAGCACATGGAACAACTGTCTCATGTTCTCCAGCTGCCAAAGGCAGTATTAAAGAGCCAGGCAAATACATTAAAGGTATCATCCTTTTGCATTTAGTAGTTGATTTTTATTTTTCTGTATTACTACAGTTATAGATACTTCAGCTTACTATCCACAGGTGAAATGTATTATTCCAGTCTCCAAGTGAGACTTCTTTGTAGGGTGACATTAAACTGTGTCTGAACACACTCAGGCTTTCTGTACCAAGAGACTGCACAGCACAACTCCGAGTGTGCCGAGTCTGTGATGCTCAATCCCTCCCTGTCCCTGCCCTCCCTGTCTGCTCCCACCTCTGATGCTCATCAGATCCTGCCGTGTTTGAAGGCAAACTCGAGCTTAAAACATCAGAAACTTTCTTCTACAGAACCTGACCCTGCAGTGATTCTGCAAGAGAATAAAATGTTGCTGGTGGAAGGATAACGAGTTCCAGCCCTTCCCTCAGTCAGCACCCCGCGGGATCTGTTCAGAGCAGCAAGGTCAGAGCCCTTTTTCCACGTGCAATAGTTCATTAAGTATCTTGTTGGCCTTGTAGCAGCTTTAAGGACATGAAGTATTAAATTTCAGTCCATGGAGTACAGCTCTAATCTCACATCTTATTCCACAGCCTTGAAGACAGCTAAGCAGCCTGTGGTTTAACATGAAGCCCTTTTCTCAGCCTTATAAGGTTTGAAGTGTGAGCAGGTTTTCTGCATCAAACTGAAAAGTATTAAGACTTTGTATATTTTTATTTGAATCTAATTTCTCTACTGAAGAGGCTAAATCAGCTCTTAATTTTATTGAGGAGGTCCTAAAACCCACTAAAATGCACAATGAACCAAGAACTTCAGCAAGCAATTGGAGGAAGGATAAAAACTGAGTAGGATAATCTTCCTTCTCACACCAAAATCAGGCAAAACACACCTGAGTTACAATAATTGAGAAGTCTAAAAAAAATAAAGCAAACAAATAACAAGAAGAAAGTCCAAATAAAAAGATAAGCTCCAAGAAATAAAACATCAGAAGTTCTTCACAGAACCTGCCTTTCTTACAAAGAACATAACTTAGAATAACTGTTATTAACTTGTATCAATTTTTTTGGATACAGAATACTAAGTAAAATGAACTTGCACTAATGACAGAGTTGCTTGCACAGCAGGATAAAAGCACAGCCCAATATCACCAACTTTTTCCTGGTCCTGCTCCCATCCCTGAAGTGCCAAGAATTCCAGAGTGAGAACTGCAGTGACCCAGGGTGACTCAGAGCACTGTGACAAACACGGGAGCCAAGCCCACTTTCACCACACCCGAGTTTCACTCCTATTAAAAGTAAAAAGCCATCTGAACTAACTACAAGGAAGATTTCAAATAAACCATTAACACATTTTTGTGCATGTTTCAAGTAACTCAACTCCCCTCTCTGTCCAAGACCACAGCCTGCTCCACTCCCCATCTGCGTGCACAACTCTGAATGCTCTTTAAAAAGTTAAATAGTGATTCAAGAAATCCAAGATAAAGTGGTGAGAACCGTTTATGTAGTTTCCCAACATCTAAAATTGAACACTACAGTGATTTCCAGTCCAATATGTATTAGGTCTTGAAAGTTATTATCCACGCTCTAAACAGTGTCCCCTTTGGTCTGAGGTATTTAAAGCTCAGCACTGTTGCATTTTTACAAGTTTAAAGCAGTATTTGTGTTCACCTGCCACTTCTTAACAGGAAAACTAGAACTGAGGTCACTGTGATCCACAAGTGACACACCTCCAATAAAGTCTTACACTATTCAATCATCACCTCTTTTGCACAATTATGAACATGCCCTGTGTTCCAGAACAGCGTATTATGGGATGCACTTTAAACACTTTACCATAATTTAGCTGAGAAACCTCACTTAGTACACTAGTATCTGATCCACTTTAGAGGACAAGTAAACAACCTTCATGTTTAACAAGGTAAAAGCTGTAAGAGTTATCAGTATTGGCTCAAAAAGCAGCAGAATTCCAACCCTGCCAAACACAGCAAGTCAAACAAACAAAACAAGAAGTATTTATTTAGCCAGGAGTTACATTACTGTCCCATCTACTCTGTAAGAAATGCTATATGGTTCTTCTAGCCAAGCACCCCAGTTCTGACAAGTACTATCAGAAGGAGATGTTTTTAACACTTTTGATGAAGAGATCATTCCTCAAGGTGCTTTCCTTCTCCTCAATCATCATTAAGTTAAGAATCAGCTTAACAAACTTCTGAACTGGGGTTTCACCTGCACCAACACACTCAGCAGCCCATCTTGAAAAACCTTCCTGTCCTTTCTGAGCACTTCCTTTTGACCTCCACAACCACCCCTGGTGATGACCAGAATCACATCACCTCGATTTCACCTGGCAATCCTCAGTTCTCATGCCCAGAAGAGAACTAAGCACTGTATATTCATTTGAACATGAAGATAACCATATTAGATGGGGTCAGGTCCAGCTGGCTTCAGATCATGTCCCTGACATCAGCCAGCAGCAGATGCCTTGAACAAGCCTGTATTTCCCAGGTTACATTCCAGTCTCCTCAAGGACTAGTTGCAAATGCTCAAATCCTTCAGGGGACCCAAAATCTGAGGACATTCTGCATTTGTGCAGCAGCAGCTTTCCCCACACATTTCTCTCTCGTTTTTGGGTTTGCTGCAATGAAAAGGGAAAACAATAAAAAAGATTCTGTTTTCAGAAAACTGTAAGTAAAGAACTCAAGTTTTGTTTTCTGAGCAGCAGCAGGTTACTTAAAGCTCCTCATTTCAGGATTATTAATCATCCCATAAGCATTATTTTTGTTATCAACAGCAAGCACCACTTACCACTTTGTAATCCTGAGGGAACAATAAATATAATTTTCCTACAAAAAGGCTACACTTGACAAGTGATGTGCACATTTCCTTAGGCACCACTGGACTTCTGAGATAAGTTATGGTCCAGAATGGAAGTTCTCAGAAGGGAGCAGAGCTGGCCTGTGCTCACACA